AATAATGTTTCTTATTTAAGGTACAAAGTTCTAATTATACAGCAATAGATATTTCAAGCCCATCTATCTCATTAAGACATGAGTTTCTAATAAAATTTTTTATATTCAATAATTATTTGTGAAAATTTCTGGTATGTTTTGTTGCTTTGATTAAATGTTTACTGCTAATAATTATAATGATGTCAATCCAAAACAAAATTTTAACATTCAGAGCCTTATGGTCATGAGATATTTTAAAAAGTCAATTATACTACATATTTTTGTTATAAGGAAGTATGGTAAGGGGCAGTTGTTGGAACGTGTTCATGGAGCAAAAGTAAGAATCTGAAATTTATTAATATTAATGAAAAGCTTTATCACTTTTTAATGGATTATGGTGAGTATCAAATCACTATGATATTTAGATGCCACTGGATAAATATAAAAGCAATGCAATAATTTTATTTGAAAGGATCAATATTTATAATATATTATAAATTACATCCTTTGCAATTAATTAAGTTATGAAAATTTAGATGTCAATTTAAAAATGCACAGAGGCATGTAGATTTTCTTTCTTTTAAGGAGGGTACGTTTATTTTGCTTGGAGTTCATGGTGATTCTCGAATCTGTAGTTTGATCTCCTTTACCAATTTTAGGAAATTCTTAGCCATTTTCTCTTCTAAATATTGCTCCATTCTTTCTTTCCTCTCCTTCTTGCTAAAATTACATTATAAAACCTATTCCTTACATTCCATGTTTTTTATGCTCTTTTCTGTGTTTTTCATCCTTCTGAATCTGTTTCAGCTTAGATACTTTTCTGTTCTATCCTCTGGTTTACTAATTCTCTTTTTAGCTATGTCTGATCCACTATTAGATCTATCTGTTGAATTCTTAATATCAGCTACTGTAAATTTTAGTTCTCAAATCTTCAAACTGCTGAAATTCTCAGTATTTTCATTCCTTGAACTCATTAATCATAGTGGTTTTAAAGTCTAGGCCTGACAATTCCATTATCTGAAGACCTTGGGATTTCTTTTGTCTGCCTGTCCCTGAAAATATCTCTGAGTATGTTCTGTCTTTACTGCTTAGTTATTTCTGGATGAAAATTTTTTGTCAGTCAGAGAATTTACTCTTGCTTTTGATGGGCAGCTCTAGGCTAAGGGCACTACAAGTCTTGGATCCTTTTAATTCAACCAAGGATTTATATTATTCAAAGCTGGGCTTTAGTCAATTTTCACCTTTATTCCCAGTGTGTAGCCCTTTGGGGTCCCAACAAAAAACCTGGTACATTTACCAGGGCCCTTCCTTCTTGGTGGGTCCTCAACTATTTTCTTCTCCCAGCCTTGTTCATTGAATGCTGTACTCAGCTTCTCAGCTTCTGCTTTTAGAACAGTCTCCTTGAGAGGAAAAGTGGCTTCAAATATTAGGCTCACTTTTCTTGGCTTCCCTTCCCTCCTATAACTTGGGCCCACACTTCCTCACTGCTTTGGTGGTCCTCTGATGCCTTTTAAAAACTTTAAAGAGACTTTTAAAAACTTCTTGCTCAGCTCTTCTAGTTATTTTCAGCAGAGGAGCTGCCCTAAACAACTTGTCCACCATTGCTGGAATTAGAACCTCCTCTCTCCTGAACTTCAGACTTAGATTGCCAATATCCTGTTGAATGGTCCCTGAATATCCCACATGTCTCTTGTGCTCAGTATGTCCACACTGAACTCTCATTTATCTCATCTCCTTCCCCATTCCACACAACCGGCTTTTCCTGTTGTGGCTATTTATGTTAATGGTTTTTCAAGCTGTAAATATTTTCTGTGAATCTCCTCTCTCTCTGCCTCCTAAATGCTATCACTTACCAAGTACTGTGTGTGTACCTCCATTCCTTTCCTTCCACCTGAGCCCACTGCTCTGTTCTCTAGGGTATCATTCTTGGCCCCCCACATCTCCCGCCTGAACCCCCACAGCAGTCTTTCCTAACTGTCCTTCCTGCTTTCAGAAGCCTCTCCTACGCTACACTGCCTGAGCTGCTAGAGGATTCTTCCAGAACAGGGTTCGACCAAGTCACAGCCTGCATAAAGTCCTTCAAAGGCTCCTCACAGCTTCTGCACTTTAGCAATAATCCTCACCTGGGCACTCAAGCCTCTTCGATTTGACTTCCACACACTTTCTTCAGCTGTATCCATTTGCTTTCCTGATCTTCCAGCATCCAGCCAAATCACTTCCCAGAGCCCAGCACCACCCTCTGCCTTTCTCCCTCTCCATCATATATCTCTCTCAACCCTTCTCCTTGGAGATCCATCTCAAATACTAGTACATTCCATCAACAAATACTCACTGAACACCTGCTATGTGCCAGCATAATCCTAGACCCTGAGAATACAAAGATGAGCAAGGCAGACATTGCTCCTGCCCTAGCCTAAAGGTCTAGTGGGAGAGACAGACGCTGAGAAAGGACTTATCTCCTGTTTGAAACTTTTCTAGGACTTCTCAACAAATATGACTTGCGTCCTTCCGTCTTTTCGGTTTTTGCTTGCTCACCACTGCCCTCTCCCCATCACCATCTGCACCTATCTTACAGCAAATTCGTATGCATTTCTTACTGCCCTTCTGGATCAGATCCTTTTGGGGTTTAGAGGGTAGGATCTGTGTCTTAATCTCTCAACCAAGTCCCTTCAGACATCACTGTGTGGCCCTTGGTCTGGCTCTGGCAGAGTGCTGAGGAAGGATCCTGCACAGTCCAATCTCTGCCTCCCCCTAGAACCAAGGGCTCTTCCAAGCTGTGTCACCCAGTACTTCCTTCTCCCCATCCCTCTCATTCCAGGCCAGGAGCTCCCCTCCTTGTGCGTACTTCTAGCTATTTCCTGGATATCTCCTAAATCATCTTTGCCTTCTAGCAATCAGCAGAACTCTCCCAAAGCCCTTAAACTAGTGGCTTTGGCAATTTCAGATACGATTTATCATCTTATCTTTTCCCCCTGCATCTCTCCCAGTCCCTACTTCTTGTCGTAGGTAAGGACTTCCCATCAATGCCCTCCATCCAACTGCACATCGGTGCCCTGCCTGGACCTTCATTATGCCATTCCTCAACTTCTTTGCCCACAGCCTCTGCTCTCATCCAACCTGCACACAGGGACCAGACTAACCTCTTAAGCAGTATGTTGACCAAAGCATTCCTTTCTCTGAAATCTTGCTTAATTCCCTTTAAGGCTCGTTAGCATGGGCTGCATTCAGGGCCCCAGCATGTCTCCAGATTTACCTTCAAATTACACCTCTTCTTAAGCCCTTCAGGCCCAGCCAAACTAATTTACTCTCTGTCCTCCAAACATGCACCAAGCTATGAAACTTTGCACCACAGTAAAATTAGGTCACCACGAGTGACTCTTCTAAATCTCACCCATATTCCATAACTGAGCTCCAAGCCACCTCCTCTGTCAAGTCATCCCTAAACACCTCTGCTGATTCCCCCAATTCTGTGTGTATAAATATATGTTGACTTTGCATGATGAGACATGGTGCCTCCTCTAGCAAGTGACTCTCAGGACAGCTTCCCCAGAATTATGCACTTGCTCCAGAGAGAATGCTGCCTGTCCCTCAGCTACTACTGTTGTGAGCAATCCAAAGGTTGGCTTCCTTGGACCTCTCATGGTAGTCCCTGTCCCTTATGCTCCTAACAGGGGCAGGACAGACTGTTTCAAAGAGAAGATGAACATGAAACTATTTCATGCGTTGTTGCTTATTTATGTTAGGGGTGGCATTAAAACAAGGAGGGGGAAACTGAATAAGCTGCAGGCCCTATAATTTTAAGTTTCTTAAATGTTTTTCTTCAAAACTTTCCTACATCCAGGACTTTTAAAAGACTTTAAATACATGCTTTAAGGAAACAATTTACTTTTTTTTTTTTTCCAATAAAGATACCATATACTTTTAGAAACTACTTTCTTATCCCTTGCTGACTACCTCTGGAAGCAGCTTTGACCTTTGGCTGGTTTTTGGTTTGTTTCTGTGTTTGACTTTTTAGGATGGTGGTGGTAAAGGAGGAAAATCCCTCTGTTAGCCAATGCATAAGTCCCCCTTCTCAACATGAGCATGAGTAACTGGAGTCACTCTACTATCATTTCTGTGGTTTAGACAAAATTAACTAGCCATGTTATTAACATGACCCTGATTTAAAAGAAATACTGAAGGAACGTTGTTTCTAAAGAAAGTTCCTGCTGTCCTTAAGTGGGAAAGGTGTGTACATACAAGAGGTGGCTAGTACCATTATGGAGTTGCCCAAGAGATCTGTTTCCTCTTGGCCAGAGATTCCCTGTGGGGCTCCCAGAGTCGTCAGTTTCCCTATGAACTAGGTGAGACTTAAAGAATTTTCCATTTCTAGAAACTTCTGTCTAGCTCTGAAAAGAGTACTGGCTGCAAAAGGGCTTTGTAAAAGTAGGTATATTTGCCTTTTTATGACATTACTATGGGGGAGGCAAGTCAAAGTGGATTTGAATCGGTTATATTTGTCAGGCGGCTCTAAAGGAGAAAATAACCCAGGCTGGGTGAATGGGTTTACAAACACAAATATTATAAAGTCCGTACACAGCTGTAAAAGGATTCAGTTTGCCCACTAATCCTGGGAGGGAGGTAGTACAGCATTCTTCTTTCCATTTTATAAATGAGGAAACTGAGGTTCACAAAGCCTAAGTAGCTTGACTCTTCTCCAACTGGCTAATCATCGCTGCCCTAACTTCACCTCATTTCCCGGTTCAGCACGAGAGTCCTCTCAGAGGCGGCGGTCAGTCCAAACACCAAAGTCGGGTCAGGCGAGGCTCCCTTAAGTCACATACCACTTCCACCACCCGGGGCCGTAAAGGATTAGCGCGTTCACGCAGGTGCTGCCCGAGTCACGAGTTTTCGTCGGGGGCCCGCCCCCCTCATGATGATTGGCTAGGTCGTTAACCATTTCTGTCCTCTGATTGGTTGTTACCTTTTCGGCTTTCCAATACTGCCTAGACCGACCGGATATAGGGGCAGGGTTTCCGCTTCCGCCTTCTGCCTCCTCCCGCTTGCCCTCGGATAGCCGACGCCGCCACAGCTGCTGCTCCCGGACGCGGTGTCGGTGAGTCGGTTGGCGTGTCTTTCAGCGTCGGTGTCCGTGTCGTTGAACTGCCCGTCATGGCTGAATTAGACCCATTCGGCGCCCCTTCCGGCGCCCCCGGCGGCCCCGCACTGGGGAACGGAGTGGCCGGCGCCGGCGAAGAAGACCCGGCCGCGGCCTTCTTGGCGCAGCAGGAGAGCGAGATTGCGGGCATTGAGAACGACGAGGCCTTCGCCATCCTGGACGGCGGCGCCCCCGGGCCCCAGCCGCACGGCGAGCCGCCAGGAGGTCCAGGTGAGTGCGGACGCGTTCAGGGCGGGAGCATTTGTCTGGAAACTCGGCAGGAGTGGGTCTGAGAGTTCTGTGTAACTCTTGTTCCTTCTGACCGGGAGGCTGAGGAGGAGTGGAAAGAGGAAACGAGACCCCGGCTCAGTCGTGCAGAAACCCAGGCTTGAGAGGCCCAGTCCGTTCTGTGAGTGTGTTCGAGCGCTCTTGGGCACTGGCGGAGCCAGAAAGCCAAGAAAATAGACTCACAGACGGAGGAGTCCGAAGAAGCTCGTTCAATACAGGAACTTTTCAGTGAGCACTTGCTGTGCTTTGAGTCGGGCTTCTGAGGCGCAGCCGCATTGGCGCAGTTTGGCTAGACTTAAAGGCAAGTCTGTGCCCAAGAAGGCCAGTTAGTCCCAAGGAAGGGAAACAGCAAAAAATTAGAACAGTGGTATCGTTTTTGAGACAAACAAAAATGGCATTGCAGTTCAGCGTTTAAGCACATAAGGTGTGCATAGTGTTTTGTAAGGGGGAAGAAATGAGGATAGGGAACTCAAGAAACATGGTGTAGCCCTGGAGAGAGATTCTCCTGCCAAAAAGGGTAAGTTTTACCATCTGTCGAACATGTTATGGGTTGGACTTCTGGAGCTCTGCTTTGTCTAGGAACAGCTTTGGTAGGCTGCATTGTTTATCTGGAACCTGAGGTTAGCCTGCACCTGTCTTTCAAGGGGTGAATCGAAAATGTAGTGTGGCCTTTTCCCAGCCAAACTCGAGCAAAAAAGCGAGGAAGCACCTGGTAGGCTTGCCAGTTTGACCTTTGAATGCGTTAGCCGTGTGCAGTGTGGTTTGTGGTGGTGGGAGGAAAGGATGAGTGGAAGAGACCTTTTTCATTGTATAGGGAAGTAGGAAGTGAGCTAGAAGAAAGGAGACGTGGCTTTTCATTTACTTAAAAAACATTCCACTTAAAAGAGAATGGGGTACCGATGGAGCAGATAAGACTGTTTATACTACCCTAAACTCACACTTAAGAGGCAAGGCAGGTAACATAAATGAGAGAAACATGCTGATTGTAAGGTAATAAGGAGTGTTGGAGGCCCAGGCTTTGGTACACTTGAATAGTGCTCTTCCTAAAAGCATTCAGACTCAGAAATCTCAGTCTTCAGCCAAGCAGAACCTTTTTGAGGAGTGGGGGTGGGGTGACTGCTAGTTTGTAGCCTAAATTTTTATGCTACACCCTGCTGCCTCCTAAACAAATCAGTTCCCCAGCAAGAGCTTACAGGTGAAGGGGTAATACACCTGAGAATGCAATTTATAGCAGGCAGGTTGGGCTGAACTAGGCTGTGGTTGGAAGATGAAGTTGGCTTTAAGTGATTAGGGCTTCTTTGTTGTTGTTAGGTAGTCTTCACCATTTGCCTGAGAATTATAAAATTTATTTTTAGATCTTAGTTTATCTCCCTCATTTAATAGAGAAAACAATCCTACAGAGAAATGCTTAAGAAAAAAGGGCAAGTTAATAGCTGAGCCCCACATCTCCCCACCTGAGGCTGTACCATATCCTGTTGCAGTTGTTTAAGCCGGAGTAAAGGCGGATAAGAGATTGTCATTTCTGAAAGGCAGCTATGGCTGCCCTGGGGAGGACAGAGTTGGGAGACTCGGGACTCACAGAAGACTGTCCTGATTCAAGGACAGTGTCAATTCTTGCCCATTGTTGTATCCCTGGTGCCTCACAGATTGTGTGGCACATAGTAGATACAAAGGAATATGCAAGGTTCAGGGGGCCTGTGTAGAGCCAGCAGACCTTGGTGGTGGGCAGTTTGGAGAGGTAAAACGGAAAGAATAGAGTTGGACACACGGATTCCTTGTGCATCAAGATTTCAGCAAAGGGAAGGAAGGGATGTTTGCTGACTTAGTTCCTAGGAAGGACTTTCTTAGTGAACTAAGCATTTAATGACTTAAAGGCAGATCTCTGACAGTATAGTTGAGGTTGGTAATAGTGCAGTGGTCAGGAAAAAAGTGCAGTGGTCAGCACTTCCTGTGGGGATTAGAACTATTTGGATGCTTTTTCTTTTTCTCTTTTCTTTTCTTTTCTTTTCTTTTTTCCTCTCTCACATACACACACAAAAACTCTGAGTCTCACTCTAGTAGTTAAGGTTCTGTACTGTCCTAGGCTGCTTGTGTGTCAGTTTAGCTTTGTGGTCTCAGACAGCTTCTCACTGCCACTGCCTTAGTTTTCTCCTCTGTAAAAGGTACAAACACACCACACAAGATTGCTTGGATTCCATTAGAGAGCACCTGTAAAGTGCTTACACACAGTCCCTGGTATGTTTTTACTGCACACAGACCTGGCTATTATTCCTTGGGAGTAGGGTGAGAAAGGCATTACAAGGCCTGTAGGCTTTGGGGGCTACTGAATAAACAGATTTTAGGAGAGAGCTCTGTATCTAATGTGTTATTATACAGAGATATATAGGCACGAGGCTCTAACAGAGATTGAGGAGAGAGGAACGTATCTAAACTCCCCCAGCCTTGGGGAAAACTCCCATGTAGGAGGGGTTAGGCCTGAGACTTGGATGATGCCCTCAGTTGTTAGGAGATCCAGGAAGAACATAAGTTTCGAGGAGGGAGGTAACTAGCTAAGTGAAGTGGTTCAGGGAGATTGAGGAAGAACAAATGGTCAGGAAAAAGGCAGCCTAAGCCTAGAGCTATGGAAAAGCCCTCAATCTAGAGGGCTGAGGATAGAGGATGTAAGAGGCAGTTAAGGAGCTACTGAGAGAGTATGGCAATGAGGCACTCGTTGCAGGAAGAGGGGTACATAAGTTAAAAGAAAACTTTCTGGAGGTGGAGAGTAATTTTCTTGGTAGCAGTGGTGAAGGGAAGTTCAGGGAAATCTCATGCATGACATTGTGTGTAATACTGCACATTTACTGCATGCTGGGTTCTCTGTATACCCTCAGATGCATGCAGTAACTCTTCAGGCAGAGTGACAGTGTTACCTTATTTCAGATGAGAACGGATTGTTGTGGAAGTTAAGCAGTGTTTCTAAAGTAGCAAATTAATACGTGGCTCCACAGGATTTCTGACGCAGGTCTGCTTGACTTTCAGTGGCTGGGGAACATGGAAAGTTGAAGTTGCGTCTGGGACAGAGTCTTTCACCTCTGGAAACTTATTCTGGCCCTTGTTTCTGTTCGGAGTTTGTTTCGGTCTGGAGTTCCTGAGATGCCTTAGAAAGTTTCCTTCTGGAGCATCAAGTTGCTTAGCTTAATTGTCTTAATAAATCAAGGCCCTTGATGGCCTTTCTTCTGTATGTTTCTGTAGCAACAGACAATCTTTTGACTTGAGCCAGCTGATTGTTAGTACAGTAGCACAGTAGCTAAAAAAGCCCAAGGCACTTGCCAGTGGGTCTGGATGAGTCTTCAGTCCTACAGGTCAGGCAGCATGTGACTTAGGAACTACGGGATGAGAATTGCTTCTAGTTTTGTGTCTGGAGTAGTGATCAAAGTCTCTCATACTGGCAGTGGCCCTGGGTTGGAATGTATTAACTGGATAGTTGGTGTGTTAGCGGTAATATATTAACCAGAATGTATGCCTGGCCAGACTAGCCATTGTAGTTCTAAGATTTAAAGTTACCTCACTCTTTTCTGTCGTCTACAAAAATAAATTCGAGATGGATTAAAGAGAGGGTTTTTTTTTTAAGTACCAGAAGAAGAGTGAATATTTATCTTAGAGTAGAAGAGGCCTTCAGCATAAAAACAGAAATCATAAAGGGGAAAGGTTATTGTCTCATACAGGTTAAGTAGTTCTAGGTATTAAGTATTATAAACCATAGGAAAAGATAATGGGGAAAATAATTGCAATATGAGAGGGCACATAATACAGAAGGAATACTTAGAGATCAAAAGATAGCAGAAACTGGGCAAAACTCAGGTAGTTCAATAAAGAAGAAAATCAAATATCAGGTGATCACCTCACAGGCATAAAAAGCCACCGTAAGGGTTTTTTTTTCCTGCTATCAGATCAGCAGAAATTTAAAAACATGGTAAAACTCAGTCTCTAGTGTCAATGAAGGTCTGAAAAATGGGGCACTGATGCTGGTTGTGGAAATAAAAATGGTAGGCCAAAGAGGGCAAATGGCCAGTGTTTAGGTTTTTAAAATATGTATCCTATGCCCTGTCAATTCTGCACAAGGGGTTTATTACTGAAGAGCAATTGAATATGCCCCCGCCAGATACTGTTTCTAAAACTTGATAGGATACTTCAGAAATTATGTGGGTAGGTGTCACACAAACAGCTTGAAGTAGTGAAAAGCCGCTGACAAAACTATAAGAAACTCATTTTTGTACTATTGTAAATAAAGCATAGGAGTAAAACAGGGAAATTAAGAAAAGTATGAGAAATACGTTGAAATAACTGATACATACACAGCAAGTGAGATGTCGATCAGAGCTGAGGAGGGTTAGTAAATGCTTAGATCCTGTTGTTTGCCTTCATGCCTCCCATTATCAGATGACCCTTCCTCTGATGTCCTGGCTGACTCAGGTATTGCACCACTTTTTAAGTGCTGATTATCTCATAACCCATGCATTCAATGTTTTTCTTACATCTTAAACATAAAAAATAAATTGAAGAGCAAAAATAGTGTCATTAATTATCTGCCCCTGCAAGAACACCTTACTTACCTCTCAAGAAACCAACCCTGCACGTATTTGAAGATCATTGGTGAAGTGCTGATACATACAAATCTGTTGTGAGGATTAAAACTTAATGTATAGGAAGTGTTTAACATTGTGCCTGGCACATTGGAAGCAATAATTAGTAGGTGTTTTGATATGAAAAAAGTAGAGAATTTAATGATACAGACGATTGGATTACTAAAAAGCATCTGTTGTGGGAGTTTGGTTTTGCTGAAAGAAATTTTGTGTATATGCATTAGATAAGTGAAAAAATAGAAATCAGTGGGCTGAGTATTGAAATTGCATGGCATTTTCTTTTGTCTCCATTTTCCCTTTAAAAAACCCAATATTTTAGTATCAGGGAGACACACTGGGGAAATGAAAGTTTTCAGTACTCCCAAAGCAAGAGGAGGAGGGTAATTGGGAGAAGCAAGAGAATGAAAAGAGTGGATAAAATGTTAGGGGTGATTTGGAAAATAAGCAGTTCAAGTTGGGTTTAATTAGTTAGGAACCCAGAAGACTGGAGGAGTGATTTGATGAAACCACTTTGCCTGTTAGAAGGAAGGAATTCGGCTGAGAGCACCCTGCACCTGGCTTCTAGGAAAGCTGTGATGTTTCTGAGGGCCTTGGGGTGGTGGCTCACACTAGCTGCTTTGCATTTCTTTTATTGTTTGGATTCTTGTATTTTTTAGGTTCATCTCTTCTCACCTCTTCCCTCTCCCACCCCATGCAGTAAGATGGTCATCATAGTTTGAAAAAAATTGGACAAAATAATAGAAGTCCTGCATAGTAGGCAGTAAATGTGGGTCAACCAACAGATATAGAATACAGAATATGTAGGTGGAAGCTAACTTTATGATGCCTGTATTGAAGCTTTCAAGGGAAGGCAGAGTGGCCACTCCAGAGAGCTGGTGTGCAGCCCTGTACAGACTGTCTCAGTGACAGCCGTTGAGTGAGGGCATGGGTTAGAAACACATGCTTATGGGGCCAATCAGGTAACTGAATTAGGGACACATAAGATGGGTTAAAGGAGGGGAGGGGATAGCTCAAGTGGTAGAGTGCATGCTTAGCACACACAAGGTCCTGAGTTCAATCCCAAGTACCTCCTCTAAAAATAAGAGGGGCTAGTGGGGACTGGCAATGTGACCAGAGCCTGCCTTCGTTTCAGGAATGCAGGCCCAGTATTACCAGGTCTTCTTTCTGCACATTCCTGCCACCCCTCCCCCACACCCCCCCCCCACAAAACCCTGGAAATCCTGGTTTTGTGAAATTCCCTGAACTAGTACTTTGTATTTTAAATAAAATATTTTCAGCTTGTGGACCACCATTTTGTACTATATGTGTTAATAATCTCTGGGTCTTATTTAGAAAGACATTTTTCTTCATATTTCTGAGATGGACTTTCTCATTTAGCTCATGAATAATTAATTGTCCAGTGAGATCAGGTTGTACACACTTTTGGGTTTTTATAACCCACATCCTTGAAAACACTGGTTTAATTTGGTTTGCCTGAATCTTACTGTTCTGGACTAATTCCAGGTGGACTAGAGGGATTAGCAAGAATCCTCAACTGTAGACCCTCAGGTGCCAAACCTACTCCATCTACAGGATGGAGGGTCCTGACCCCACAAGCACCTTAGTTTAAACATGAAGCTGCGCATCTCTGCTCACTGAAGGATTCCAGGCCACGCTTCTCCTTTGCTTTCTCCAGAACTTTCATAGAGAAACTGTTGCTCTGTGAGACTTCTGCCAGGCTTCCACTCCAAGCCAGAAGACTTTGAAAAACTTTTGGGTTTAGGAGCTTGGGCAGATTTGCCCACATTTTGGTGAAGTTATTTGTGTATAAGCACATCTTGGCTTCACTAAATGGAGAGCTGTTCATTGTTCTGTCTGGTACCTAGCAGGGGGATAGTATTCAGTAACTTAAAGTACCTGCAGCACACAGTTCTGTATCATACTGTATAATCCTTTGGCCCAGCATTTGACTAGCCCTGATTGACAGAGCAAAATTTTATGTCTTGCAGATGCTGTTGATGGAGTGATGAATGGCGAATACTACCAGGTACAGAGCGCTCTAATTATGTTGAAAGACAGTGCTTGAGAGCTTCCTTTCCTATGATTTGAATTGTCTGACCTAGAAAGGACCCCAGTCCTTTGACTTTCCTGGATGTATTAGTAGCTGGTATGTTACCTACCAAAGTGGGAGGATTTGAAGAGAAGTGACATTGATAGAGCATTCTTTCAAAAAATGTGATTAACCTGGTCCTGCTGTTGTCACCTTTATTCTCAAAAAATGACCCTTCATGATGACGGTGGTGAAACACTATGTGCTGTGCCCTGTGTCAAACACTGTTTATACCAAACTTTATTTAATTCTCACAACAACCTGAGGGACCTGTACTATGGTTCCCATTTACAGGTGAATAAACTGAGGCACACAGAGGTTAAACCAGGAGTATAAATAACAGGTGGTATGTGGTAGGGCCAGCATTTGAACCTTTTCGATTGTATTGGGGGTAGGGGTGGCTGGTATTTGTGATGACTACCCTCATTTTCCCTCTGCATCACTAAACTTGGTTACCAGCCCAGCTTGCATGGGCTTAAACGTAGAGAATTTACTAGTTTAAAAAGTTGAAAGAGCTCTGAGATAGGCTTGGGGTCCTCGGACCAGGACTCTGACTCAGTTCCGCTAGGACTCTGGTTCTGCCTGCTGAGTGTGCAGTTTTGTGCTCTTTCATGGTGGCAAAATGGCTCCCGCATTTCTAGGCCTCACTGGTGCATGTGTTAGTATCTTGAACAACGTGGAGATTTCTCCCCACCACTCAGCAAAAGTCCTGTATTTCCCCCTGCACCCGACGGAAGTAATCACTGTAGCCTGAGGATATAGTGTGGTGCTTTTGCTTCTGCCTGGGTTTCTGCCCATCCTTCAACCATTTAACTGTCAAGAAGGAAATAAACTGTCTAACTGGTTTAAGCCAAAGGTGGACTAACTTTTTATTGAAGGGTCAGATAGTAAACTTTTTAAGCTTTGTGGGTCATAAAGTGTCTGTCACACTGTTCTGTTGCTGTAATGTGAAGCATCCATAGACAGTATTTAAATGAATGGGTGTTGCTGGGTTCCAGTAAAACTTAATTATAAAAACAGGTGGCTGACCTGGTTGTAATTTCCTATCCCTGGTTTAGAGCCTGACCTTTAGAGTGAGACAACTCAATCCTGGCTTTATCCCTTACGAGCTGGGAATGTAGATATGTCATTTCTCTGTGCCTGGGTTTAATCCCCCAGCTGTGAAGTGGGAATAAATACTTGCCCTGCAAGGTACTTGGAAGATGAAGCCTATAAGTGCCTGGCACATGGAAAGTGCTAATAAGTTAGTTACTAATACCACTGTAAATCTTTCCCCATCTTTTTAAGGTTAACCTGGTAATAGTCCCTAGTTCTATAGGTGAAATAATCACTGAAGATTAAATTCTGTTTGAGTCTTTGTAAATTTACTAGCTCCCAAATCTTTACTGTGAAGAGCCCGCCCCTCCCCCTCCCTCAGTTCTCCACCACATACACTTGTGACTCATGTTTGCCTGCTTTTTTGTTCTTTTCCTTGGTGTGACTATAGTAACTACATTTTCTTTTGGAGTCTTTCCTAAAATTCACTATATACATATTTTTTAATTGAAGTGTAGTCAGTTTACAATGTTGCATTAGTTTCTGGTGTATAGCATATTGATTCAGTTATACATATATATACTTTTTCATATTTTTTTCAATACAGGTTATTATAAGGTAATATAGTTCCCTATGCCATACAGTATGACCTTATTTATCACTATTTTGACTAGGTGGTATTAAGTGAACTTTTGTCTGCATTGTATGATAGCATTTAGAAGTCTTCAGTTCTAGGCCTTGCTGTGCTGCGTATTTTACCTTTGTTACTTTGAAGATGTCACATAATCTCTATGTCAAGTGAGGAAACTAAAACTAAACACTGTTTCCCCATAAGTTCATTACCCACTTCCCTAACTTTCCTGTCTCCCACTCATGTTCCATTTATTAACAGGGTAACAACTACTCTGCCTTCCTTGTGAATCGCAAGGATTAAGTGCATAATGCTGAGAGCTCCCTGTTGGCAGGAAGGTTGTGTTGTTGCTCTTAAGGAAATCCTTTAACATTTACAGCAGCTGTTAGTACTGCACATAACCGGGGTTCTAACTTGGATGAAGCACACTTTCTGGGAAGAGGTTTGGTACTTACCGAGCACAATTGTGTTTGTGTTAAGGAGAGTAATGGGCCAACAGACAGTTATGCAGCTATTTCACAAGTGGATCGATTGCAGTCAGAGCCTGAAAGTATCCGTAAATGGAGAGAAGAGCAAATGGAACGCTTGGAAGCCCTTGGTAAGGAATCCCTTTCTGTCTGTTTTCAGTGGAATAGTTGACCTTGACTCTACTTTTATTCCTTTTTAACTTGAATTAGCTCATAATGTCCGTGTCCAGTTTGGGGGAAGATATCTTTCTCAACCTGCAGGTCACAAGGCTACCCACGTGGAGGCCACTGGGTGGGGACTGGGGCAGTCCAGAGAGCCCCAAGTGCATCCTCTCCTCCAGGAAGGGTGGAGTGGTGCTGTGGAAAGAGCCTTGGACTTGAAGTGAAAGACTGGCTTCCAGGCCCAGCCGTAACTCTTACACAGCACCAGCTCTGGGCACTTGGTTGCTCAAACTTTACAGAGTCTGTTTCTTCATCTGTGATGTAAGATCCATGTTACCAACTCCAAGGGTAGTCTGAGATGGTATTCATGAGAGTGCTTTGTAAACCTGACGGTATTACATCCAAGTGAGGGACTGCACAGTTTATCATTTGAAGACTGAATTTAAGGTAACACTTAAGAGAAAAAGTGAGGTATGTAGGAAACATGTACAATTCAGTTTTCTTACCCTAGTATCCCTGTATGTTAAGTTTTTACATTTTTTATGGGTGAGGAAAGTGAGGATCATAGGAAGAATAAGTATTTGAGTGGTAGAGTCAGAGGTGCAGCTGAAGTCTGCCCTGCTTCAGAGTTGATACCTGTCCCCTCAGCCATCTTATGTTTAGTGAACTCCAGCTGGAAGGCAGGCTGAGCCTGGGATCAGCCTGGCCTTTGGCAAAGAGCCTTCTCCGTGGGTGTCAGCAGTTGGTCAAGATCAGGAGAGACTTGGTATCTGTACATGTGGGTTGGAAAGGTGTGGCAGAGCGTAGGGGATGTTATCCACAGAGTACTTCTCAACTTTTTGTTGAAATTTCAAACACAGAATAGTTGAAAGAAGAGTGTGTCTTCCCCTCCAGATTCAGTAGTTAACATCTTGCCATCGTGGGTTATTGTATAAATGAGGCAGGTATGTGTTACATATTCACATGCACTCACACATTTATATATGTATTATGAATGTACACATAATTTTTTTTCTGACCCACTTAAAGATATAAACATCACATACTTGCCTAAATGCTGTACTTGTAGAAATAATGACGTTCTTTTATGTAACCACAGTGTTAGCGTTATTATTCCTTCTTGGGAATCACTGAAGTAGTAAAAACGTAATAACTTAGATGGTATAACTGACACCTAGAAATAGGAAGGGACTTGACCCAGATGATACAGCCAATTAGTGTCAGATCTTTTCTCTCTCCAGCCCACCTTTTGTGGGTTTCAGAACAAAGGACACACTTAGGTTTGAACCTTTACAGCACTATCCAACAGCAGCTTTGATGAGGAACTGTTCTGTATCTGTGCTGTTCAGTATGGTAGCCACTAGCTGCATGTGGCTAGTATGACTGAGAAGCTGAATTTTAAATTTTATTTAATTTTAGTAAATTTAAATAGCCACATGAGGCTAGTAGCCACTTTACTGGATAGTGCAGCTTTAGAGAGATGAAAATAGGCCTTCATGGTGCTAGCAGCCTTGGTCCTTGCTTGTTCTTTGAGTACCTTCAGAGTAGGCTTAGAGGCAAGGCTTAGCTGACATTACTAGTGGAGTATTTTTCATGTTGTAGAACCCAGTTTTATCTTTTCTCTTTCTCTGAAGTTTAGCAAAGTCATCTTCTCTGTGGAGACAGTACATGAATACATGAAGAATGTCAAAAGATTGCATTTTCTCATTCAATTATCAAATTGAGCTCTTTGAAAGTATTCCATGAAGTGTTGTTTTCTTAACTCTGGATGCCTTCTTGGGGGAAGTCAAAGATTCGGCCTCGCATTCCAGTTGAATGAAAGTGGTCCGTGAATTAGGTGTTTCTGTAGTTTCCCCTTCCTTCCTTGCAAGAACTGAGAAAGTGCAAGATGCTAAAAATAGAGAAGCAGTGTCCATGTTTTTCAGCTTAACTGCAGGCTGTGTTCCCCAATACTTTTCTGCGAACAGTAATGAGGATGGCCAGAGAAGACAGCTGTCGGCGCGCCCTGCTCTCTAAGAGGATTTTTCACCCTCCCCTCACGCTTCTCCCTCCCACATTCAGAGAGACTGTATTACAGCTTGGATCTTTGTCCCGTCAAGCCAAGCGTTTAAGAATTCTAAACTCTTACTGCCTGTGTCACTTCACAAATCTGTAAAAGACAATTTAAAGGGACTGTTTTGTGCAATAACTACAATCTCTGCAGATGGTCACAATTTTTATTTAGATTAACTTTTCAGAGATAAATTTCCCTGATATTTTGTTCCTAATATATAATAACGTTTACAAAATGATAATAGACTATATAGAAAGAAAATGCTCTCCAATCAAAAAGTAATTTTCTGGAAGTAATTTCACAACTCTTGGAAAGGAGATCTTACATTTTAAATTTTTTTCAGTTTCTTGTCTGCAGGGCACCGTCAGCCCACAGCATCTCCCTGCACCACAGGGCCTGCTGTTCCACATAGGCTTAATGCCAAGGATAGACACAGATCAGAAGCTTACTGTGTATCCTTGAGTCATCAGTGGAAAATCAGAGCAAAACAGTTCTCCTGAGCAATAGTTCACCTTCTGATAAGTTAGATAACAGAGTAAAAAGTTCTTTATAATCTGAAACACTGGGGGAGTTTCTAGCTGCTATTAGGCTGTTTCTAGTATTTACAGAATTAGTAGTCTCCTGCCAGTTGTTACTATAAGACCTTTTTTGAAAAGGCCCTAAAATTGCCCCCAATTTCTTCCCTGAAAGTAGTTCTTTGCTTTCTGCTCTCTTCCTCAAGGACAGTCATGAAAGGAGCGGGCTCTGGCTTCTGCGCTGTCCAAGCTCTTGTCTGGATCACTGGTGCCCACCTGCTGGTCACATCTCGTGACTGTTGCTGGGCTTGCTTCCCTTTCTGTCCCTCCTTCCTGGAGGTGGTGTGATGAAGACTGTGTAAGCTTTAGAGTTGAACCTGGGTTTAAATCTTGGTTCTGCCACATACTAAATAACCTTTAGGAAAGTTACTCGCTCAGACTTACCTGAGCTGTAGTTTTTCTCACTGCTGAGTGTGGGAGTAGTTTACCTTCTTGGGGTCATTGTAAAGATTAAATGAGACATCTGTATAAAACACCTGTCAGAGAGGACTTCCTAAAGAATGTGCTTAAAGTGAAGTATCAGAGTAACTTCAGGTTGTCAACTGCAGTGATAATATGACCTGTGTCTTTCTCTCCTACTGCCTGCTGACATGTTTCTTGAGCTCAGTATCTTAGGGAATCCTATGTTTAGTCCTGAGAAACTTCATGGTTGAGAATCCAGTCTGGCAAACCTGCTAAGGTGTGCATTTTCTCTCTCATGTAGAACCTTTTGGACAAGTGTTAATAATGATCCCTCACTCCACCCCTGTAACTCTCCCCATTGGAATTTCTCTTTTAGTTCTTCCCTAGCTCTGCCACAGACTCCCTCTGCAGTTTAAAGCAGGAGGAGATATTTTGTGGTCCCCTCAACTCCGTCTATATTCTGCTGTTCCCTGGTTCCTGAGCCGTCTCTACTCCAGTAATTTTTCTCATAGCTCCCTGCTTCATAGAAGTGCATCTGCCATATTTAGTGAAGAGAGTGCCCTTGGATTTTACAAAACCATTAATTATCTAACGTGGAGTGTGGAATATAGTCTGTGAGGTTTTATTAAAAGATTAACGTAAGTAGTCCAACTTGGACTAATATTGGCAGCATTATTAAAGGATCACCAATAATTGCTTTTTCCCTAGTTGCTGGCCCAAAAGCCTTTTTAAAATTGAAAGTCAGTATTTCTACCACCACCCCCCCCCCCCGAAAAAAAAACAAACCCAAACTAGTCATCCATCAAGCTGTAGGTGGACTGGGGTAAATTGTGGTGAAACACCCTGAATAAAATTGCTCAGTTGGAGCGCTGGACGTATAAAATGATCATGTAGGGAACAGGCTTCGCATTGCAGAATTTTTTTCAAATAGTAGTATCTTCTCCCTCCAACACACATGCACCTGCACACAGCATAAGATTAATAAACTCCAAATAAACAGATGAAGCAAACTTCAGTTTGCATGTTGCTTTATTTGTGTTGTCTTTCCTTCCCTTCAAAGATGCCAATTCTCGGAAGCAGGAAGCAGAGTGGAAAGAAAAAGCAATAAAGGAGCTGGAAGAGTGGTATGCGAGGCAGGACGAGCAGCTACAGAAGACAAAAGCAAACAACAGGTCAGTCCACGGTGCTTCTCGTTTGCCAAGATGGAATCAAGTCCCTTTCCACCAGCCAGTGTAGGTTTTCAGCAGCCGCCTCTTTTAGTGTGGAATGTTTGCTGGTTTTCAGAAAAATACCTGAAACAGGGTTGCCAGTCTCTTGGGTTTTATGAGCATAATTCAGCCTGTTTTTTCGCCACCCCTGGTGCAGTGAGTCTAGTCCTGCAACTAGGAGTTCGGTCAACATGCGCCACCTGTAATGGTATGATTCCACAAAAGAAAGAGTTACCTCATAGATCAAGTCCACATGTAAAAATGTAACCCTGGAATGAAAGGCCGCTTTCGTGACTGTGCCAGGATTTCAGAACTCTGGAGATGACTATAGGCTTGGTCGGGCTGCATCCCCAAAATTCAGCCCAGCCCTCGAGGGCTGCTTCCCGGAGGGTCCATTAGCAGGGACGTGCTTAGGTGGCCAAGATGTTCCCAATGGTGACTTCAGGATTAAGGGTTCTCTGGGTGCTTATTATCTGTGTCTAAGAAAACCTTGAATTGACTTTTAAAAAATGCTCTTTTTGGAATTTACTCACTTATTGAAAGTTAAATAGTTGTAGGGAGAAAACAGGCATTCTCGTATCGCCACCAACCGGCACCTGTGGTCTTTAATGCTCCGCGCCTGGGGTCTACTTGGAAGTAGCTCAGAGAAAGAGGCGGGGCAGTGCTGCTTGCCTGGGTGGAGGCCAGGGGCTTGCTTTCCCTGCTGGATTCAGAACCCAGTTTTCACTTAATAGTCACCCGCTCACTTCAGTGTATAGGTAGGCCAGGCTGGGCCTGAGGATACTTTCAATTTTCATGGTAAAGAGCCTTAAATTCCTGTCCTCAGAAGCAAAGAGGGGTTTAAGTGCCCTTGTCTCTGGCAGCTCTGTTAGAAGGAAATCTGCCAGAAAAGAGGGAGTTGACTGCTTTGCCAGACAGCCTCTGCCGCTGTGGGGCAGCTGCGGCACACCAGTGTTTTGTGCATCGGACTTCAAGCTGCCTGTCTCCCATTGGCCGTCCTTGGTTCTGTCATGGTCTCAGATGCCAGGCTTCAGCCTCTGTCCGGCCCACCTTCCTGGGGGGCATGTGCTCTCTAGGTGTGTCTGTCAGGTTCCCTTTGAAGTTCTGTGACAAGTATGGTGGAGACTGGTCGGGGTTCAGTTGCTCAGGGTAGTGTTAGCTACCGAGGCTTCTGCTGAGATTGTGGTCATTGTGAAGCACTGATGGGCCCAGGCTCCTTTATCCTGTGCTCATTTCAAGATGATTTCCCCCAGGTGCAAGTTCAGATCTCTAAAGAAAGGTGGGAGGGTGCTTTGTGCAGGCACCCTGCCGGGCCATTTACCCTGGTGAGTTGCCTCAGCCCCTGGTCTGCTCTGAAGGACTTGGTAAAACTGAGTCCACATTCAGAGTCCCTGATGTTTAAGCAGACTGACATACAGATTCTCAGATTTAAAAAATGATCATGTTGGAAATAGGATTCCCATTGCAGAAATTTTTTCAAGCCAATATTGCTGAACTGTATCCTTCTTATAAAGAAAGGGATACCTGTCTAAATACGTAATCGGTTGTCCTTGGAGAGAGTGATCATGCCTGTTTTTAGGAGCTCAGTCTTGAAGGTTTAGTCCCTCCAGGCATTGATTTAGGATTTGGGGACCTTTCTGTACTTAGAATTGTAGAATGTTGGCTTAGATGTTTCATAGATGAACTTCTCAAGTTCCAGAGAGCCTTAAACTTACCACTCACTGAGCATGCAGGACTGTTTAGAAACCAGGTCACTTGCTGCCTTGCAACAAGCTTGTAGAGTGTCTAAAGCTAGTGGCACGTTAGCCACCATCACCAGAGTTCCAGGACACAAGGTTAGTTTTTACACTTTATTCCAATTATTCTTCATTGGGCTAGGATGGGAGCCATCTTAGACCAACTTTAGGGGACTTCTTTCATTAGCACACACCCTGCCCTGGAGATTTCCCCCTTTCCCTCTAAACACTTCGATGTGTAAAGTGATTCATCTTTCTCATTGTCTGTCTACAGGTAAATAGTGAATTTTTTTTTTAATGGTGGTCCTGGTTGAACCCAGGACCTCATGTGTGCTAAGCATGTATTCTACCACTGAGCTATACTCTGTCCCCCAATAGTGAATATTTTGAGAAAAGATGAAGGTACTCATTCCAAGCAAGAGTCATTCTCCAAGGTGACTTGTAGCAGCTGGATGTTGAAGGGGCCCACAGAGACCAGGCAGAAAGGCAGAGAAGTTCAAAAGAAGATCGGGGGTAGCAAGGCCTGTTCTTACAAGAGTGTCATCAGGCCTCCTGCTTTCCACGTGCCTTCAACTGAAGCTCTGGGAGCACATCTGTGCGGGGCAGTGGGCAAACAGTCAGCAGCAAACAGACCCTGCCATCTTGGCATCTGTAGTCTGGTGTCAGTCCTCAGACTGCATCTCCCTCCTTTATCCCAAGTTGGGGCCTAAATGTCACTGCTCAAGAGCCATGAATTAAGTGACAGCCTGTGGAAAAGAATTCCCTTTTCACAGGAGCCAGTCAGAACAGTGCCTGGTTCCTACAGCTGGTCGAGTTTACTCATTGAGAACAATCCTCGACCTTGCTCCCTTCCAAACAGCAACACATCTCCCCTTTCACAGCTAGCTTTGGTGCTGACCTTTCACCTCTTTCAAGCCTTGTAAAAGTTCAGGGACTCCGTGATTTCTCAGTGATGGCAAACATTTCCGTGCCCGCTCTGGGCTCTTCATGTGAGTCAGCATCCTGGGGTCAGGCCGGGAGCCGTTCCTCCCCCTCCTCCCAGCCCTCCCTGTGCGTCCCCCTGCCACCGCCTTGCCTGAGGATTGCTTCTTTTGGGCCCCCCTGTCTGGTGGGTGAAGTACAACCAGGTGGAGGGGCCACCTGTGTTTATGTGTAGGGTTTTCCTTTTGTTCCGGGGCTGTAGCTTTGACAGGGATGTGCTGTCACCAACAGCTCTTTCGTCCCAGGCTGGCTGCAAAGGAGCAAAAGCCTAACACACAGGCTTTTGTTGTCTTAGTAATGCCGTGAACAGAAGTCATTAAACACCTTTATTCTCTTCCACTGGGAGCAAGCACAAGTTGAAATTGACTAGGTTTACCCTTTGTGTAAACTGAAAGGATTATGGGCTTACAAGCTGGCCTGCCTTTCCTCTCCCTCCCACTCGTGCCCACAAACAACTCTTGTTTTCCTGCTGACTCGCTTGGAGTTAAAACCAGACTGTTCTTATTGCTGTCTTTAAATTTCCACAAAATACCTCCTATGTATAAACTAAACAGGGAAAGAAGGAAGGGTATGTGTGAGTTTAAAAATAAATTAAAATTACTAGAATTTCCCTTCAAATAAATGAGTTTAGGTTAATGACCAGGCATGACTGTCCTTAAAAGACATCGTTTCCACTTCTACGCCCCCAAACTGACCTGGCAAAGGATAGGGTAAGACTCCTTGAGGGAGGCTCCCTGCCCACCCACGTGGACGAGGAGGGCTGGCTAGGCCCTGAGACTTGGCCTGGGGCAAGAGTCCAAGCCAGCCAGCAGCCCCACCTTTCCACCTTGTTCCAGATCAGAGCTGCCATTTTGATCCATTCCCTTAATGAGAGTTAAGGAGGGGCGCAGTTCTGGCCTCTGAGCTGCACCTTGTCAGAGCAGTCAAGGCTGGCAGGGACTGAGCACAGTTGTGTTCAGGGACACAGTCAGTACACCAGGGGCAGAGCCAGGGCTCTTGTCTGCAAGTCTTCCCACTACTCGCCTCCAGCTGCTTTTTTCTGTTAAGGTGGGCATTTTGACATGACCATATGTGTTCCCAGGATACTGAAAATTGGTCCCACCCAACCAGTGTGGAGAAGTAGTCAGATAATCCAAGAGTAAGCTGGCTTTGGGACCAGCGTGCCTGGTGCCTGGCAGTGTTTGTGCTCAGTGATGTTTCATGAAGCCGACGGGAAGGGACGTGGCTTCCCAGGCACGCACCAGGTGGGAAGCAGCAGTGATGCAGTGAAAAGAGCCAGGCAGCTTTGGTTTCGAGTTCTGCCACCCCTGTTGGCACCGCTGCTGAACAAGTGCTTCCTCTCTAGGCTTCGGTTCCTTGCTACCTCATCTGTAAAGTGTAGGGAGAACACTCGGTGTCCTAGGGTGTTGGGGTTGAGGATTGATGGACATGATTTCTGCCAAGGGCTCTCAGCCTGCAAGTGGGCACCTAGGAAGTGCTCACCGTCGCCGGAGTCAGGCTGGGCATGGAGGCGGCAGTGCTCACTGCGGAGAGGCCTGCAGGGAAGGCCAGCGGGCACCTCACGGCTGGAGTGGCTGGAGTGTCTGGCGCCGGAAGCTGCTCCCCAGAGCACAGTTGTGCCTCTATTGTGGATTTGAGATGTTTCTGCTTCTCAATGTTCTCTCTTTTTTCCTGCCTGCTTGCCTGCCTTTTGGACCTCTTGCTGTCTAGGGTGGCAGATGAAGCTTTCTACAAACAACCCTTCGCTGACGTGATTGGTTATGTGTATGTTGCAAAACTAATTCCTTTTCTTGTTTTGTTTCTACTTTTCGTTTAGAGTTAATGCTCCTTTTATGTCACAAGTCGCTTTTGCTTTTAAAATTATTTCACATTGGCTCTGGGGGCTGCCTAAGAGTTAAGCTGGGGATATGTTCCATTGTCTCTCAGAATCACGACTCCCCACAACTCTGGTTGCCATTTTTCATTTTGAGGGGAAGCAAGCTGACTCCCTTTCAAGATATGGGTCATTTGTGATCTTGGCTGGGAAGGCTTTGGGACCAGGGTGGGCTCTGACCTCTTGCTGCCCCCCTGCCCCAGGTGGGAAGGGGGAATGTCTCCATCTAGGGGAGGAGTCAGTGAGGGCAGCACTTTCTACACTCTGTTCCTTTAACAAACATGTTCCCTTGGCGCAGAAGTGTCAGCGCAGAGGGGGCTGTCTCCTGTGGGGTCTGTACTTGTTTCTCTCACATATTGGAAATCAGTGTTTAGTGGCCAGCTTCTGATGCCCTGTCTCCCACCCTGGTGTAGAGACCCCCAGCTGTGAGGGCAAGATAGCCAGAGCTGTCTGATGTGGGGCCACTTTAGCTTTTTCCCACAAAGAAAACTGCATCTTTTCTGGAAAAATGTTTAAGGATTCCTGTTTTCAAAGCAGTACTGCTGAATCACTTCTGTTTCCTCCTTAGAAATTAGGACTAGCTTTTGGTAGAACAGAGATGAGGGTGGACTGGAGGGAGAGAGGAACTAACTTATGGGAAGGGGAGACAGACACAGGCTGAGGCCTATAGAGCCTCTTAGGGCCTGTGGCTCGAGTTGTTCCTCTGGTTAGGAGACAGCTGGGTTTCCTGGGCCCCCAGGTGCATTTGCAGTGAAACTTGTGAAATGCTGGACTTACAGGTGGTATTGGGTTTGCTTTTTGCAAAATGGAGACTGGAAAGGTCGAGTCTGGGTTTGCTGGGCAGCAGGGTGGCCCAGCAAAGCCAGCTGCACGTCCCCAGCACACAGAGTGGCAAGGGCATGTCTAGCTTACTGACCATCTGCATTGAGCTCATTCTCATTTTCCGTATCTGACCTAAAGTTTCTCTTGTTTCTTTTCTTCTTTTCACCTTTAAGCACAAACATAAACCATCCTTGCTACAGCCTAGAACAGTTAAGTAAACCTTTCTCACTGCCCCTGTGTGTGCCATGAAGTCGCAGTGTTGTAGTGGCTCTGGGCTTCAGCGGTGTTTGCCACGGCCATCCCTGTGAGAGTGCCACCCCTCCCCGTCCCCACAGACCAGTCATCTCCATTGCTTTCGCTTTGCCCGTGATGCCTGTTGGAGTAGATGAAATAGTGTGTCTTCCCTCCTCTTACCGCTGTCCTTTTAGGCTGTAGCTCCTACCAGTTAGTTCCCAACTGGGGATGGGCTGACCTTGGTGTGAAAGAACGCTGGAGCAGCAGCCTACCACAAAGCAACTAACACTGGTTGGCTCTCGGCCGTTGGGCGCCCGCCCCTGCCAGAGCGTGCCCCGAGAGGCACCCGGCTGGAGGGAAACGGCAAACTTTTGGCTGAACAGGAGAATGTCCTAACAGACCCCTTCCAGAATGGCTTTAGTCTCTAGTGCCTGCTAGCATGGGAGCTTTGTCTTGAATTCCTTTTGATCTCTGCCCTGTTTCTCTCCAGCCTTAAGAATAAATCCAGAGGCTATTGTGCAGTGACCTTCGTGCTTCTTAAAAATCTCTAAATTTACTTGAAACTCAGTACAGCCCACCATGAACTACTGTTCAAGTTCTGGACTAGCCTGCTGCTTTGCCTCTTGCTAATGAAGACAGTGAGTAGCTGGCTAAGGACTTGCTTTAATTCTCTGTATCAACAGAGTGAGCCCTGAACCAAACACCTGTATTCCAACATTTTACACAGCAGTCCGGGCACCCTGTGCCTGGGAGAGCTGGCCACGCGTCTGCTCCCGAGTCTGACCTGGGCCAGGGGCTGTTACTCTTTGGCAAACCAGAATGCCCTTAAGTCAGGCATGAAGAGGCAGTTGCTTCCATAACAAGGCAGCCGCCAGGTAGCCGACAGGGGAATTCTACATTAAACCAACGTAATTTTGTTGTTGCTTCCAGGGCAGCAGAAGAAGCCTTTGTAAATGACATTGAAGAGTCATCCCCAGGCACTGAGTGGGAACGGGTGGCCCGGCTGTGTGACTTTAACCCCAAGTCCAGCAAGCAGGCCAAAGATGTCTCCCGCATGCGTTCTGTCCTCATCTCCCTCAAGCAGGCCCCCCTGGTGCACTGAAGAGCCACTCTGTGGAAACACTACGTCTGCAATATCTTAATCCTACTCAGTGAAGCTCTTCACAGTAATTGGATTAATTATGTTGAGTTCTTTTGGACCAAACCTTTTTGTCTTTAGAGTTAATCATTGTTTGTGATTGCATGTTTCCTTCACCTGTGTTCTCCCTGGCATTCAGAGAGTGGGGGGAGGCAGCAGGGGGAGGGAGGGAGGCCTCCCACCGGCAGTCTCAACCTACGCTCTCATGCATTATTCTGAGAATAAATTTCTGTTTCAAACAATAAACATGAAGCTTCATTATTGACCTCAAGCTGTGCTGCAGTGTGGAGTGAGGTTGGTGAGGAGTTTCCTCTCACCCTTTCTAGGGCTGAGGAGGCACAGCCCTTGGGTGCCTACCTCTGACTTGAACTAAACTAGCTCCGAGTTTCCACTGTCTGTAGTAGGGAGTCTGTGGAAGTTTCCATTGTTTCTAAAAGTTAACCTCACTGCCCACCGAAGATTGAGCTGTGAATCCCCTCGCACCCTAGATATTTTCCCCAGCTCCTGTTTGTCTCTGTCCCTTACTTTGGGATCCTGGATGGTGTATTTCAGCAGGGGGTCTCTGGGGAACATAAGCTAGTGAGACCTTTACTCCTTTAGATTCAGCCAGTAAACCTGAGTGTGGCCGGCCCATTACTCTGAATCCCCGTAGCACACCCTACATCTGTGCCACCCCTGGCACTTTGCTCGTTTTTCTCTTGTCAAGTCCTTAACTGTGCTGGCAGTTACAGTAGCCCATCTGGCACATGTTGCTACTTAAATCACTTAAAAATACAATTCTAGCCCTAGCTGCGTTTCATATGCTCTATGACCACAGGTTATTATTAGGTAGCATCCAGGTTGTACAGGGCATTGTAGGACATTCACGCCATCACAGAAAATTCTGGATCAGCTGATCTATACAACAGGTGCCTGAAGGACTGTGTGCTCCGTTTAGGCTTCAACACATTCGTTATCTGCCCTCAGAACTTGGCACACTTTAGGTGATAATTTAGATGATTCAAAGTAACTAATAAAGCCATATTCCAGAAAACTGTTAATAGTTACCTGATACTATTTCCAAGTTGGAGACTGATGTAAACTCCTGTAACACCACACTCAGGAGGCAGCGGAGCAGAGTTAGGTCTTGACATTGCCGAGAAGGGAAGTCCACCGTCTCTCTTATGGTAATTATGTCTGGAAGGGAGAGGAACTTTTACTTTTCTGCGTACCTCCCCGTTCCCAAGCTTCTAAGTTGGGCATTCCTTATCTGACCTGCATTTCTGGCCTCTGCTCATTCCTCCCCTTTAGCCACCTCTGATTGCAATCAAGCCATCCCTAGCTGCTGTTCACCAACCATGTTGCCTCTGGGCCTTGCTAATGCCGTTGAAGATGTGGAAATCTGATTTAAGAATTAGCTCAAAGGCCACCTCCACAATGCCTTTCCTTACTTCCTCCCCTGAGCTCCCATGGCCCTCTGTATGGGACAGCTTACCTTTTGATACTGTCTCGGTGGTGCTGTCTGGACTGGCCTTGCCTCCCACACCAGATGGGTTTCGTGAGGGTGGATGTGGCAGTTGTTAAGACGTCAATAAAGTCTGTGACTTCCTCTGAATCAAGAGGTGACTGGATATGACAAAAGTAATGCTATATAGCTTCCAAGGCTAGGTCATAAAAGGCGATGTAGCTTACGGCTGGTTTGTTGGAACACACAAGCTGCTAGTCCTTGAGCCACCATGTAAAAGGGTACCGCCCTGAAGCCGCCATGCTATGAGCGAGCCCAAACCAGACCACGTGGAGACACTACACGGAGAGACCCTGAAACCACAAGCAAAGAGAAATGCCTGGCTAGTCCCTCCTTAGTTTTCCAGCTGCCTCTCATTCCAGCTCCAGCCAGTCTAACTGCAAGTACATCGGCCACCCTGTCAGAACTGCCAAGCAGAGCCTTTTCCAAATTCTTGGCCTACAGAAACCATGAGAGAAAATGATTACTGTTTAAGCCTCTTAAGTTTTGAGGTGGTTTATTACACAGCAGTAGTAACTCTGGATTGTTTCTAATGCCTACATCACCCACATGGGGCTTCATAAAAAGGAAGGAGTTGCTCCAGAAAGCCAGTGAATGCTCAACATTTAGTTTCAAACCTTTCTTCGGGCCACTTTTGCCTCTTATGTCAAATCTTACATGGTATTCAACATAGTACTGAAGCCCTAGTGAGAACACTTAGAACACAAGAAAAAGAATAAAGCGCATCCAAATTGGAAGGAAGAAATAAAACACACTTTTTACAGATGACGTGATTTTATATATAGGAAACCCTAAAGACGCCACCAAAAAACAGAATAAGTCAATTCGGTAAAGTTACAGGATACAAAATAAGTATACAGAAATCTGTTGCATTTCTGTACACTAACAGTGAACTATCAGAAATTAAGAAAACAATTCCATTAATGATTGCCTCAAAAAGATTAAAATACCCAGGAATAAATTTAACCAAGGAGGTGAAAACTGTACACTGAAAACTATCAGACACTGATGAAAGCAACTGAAGACACAAACAAAGATACCCCATGCTCATGGATTAAAGGGTATGGTTAAAATGTCCATCGTATCCAAAGCAATCTACAGATTCAGTGTAGTACCAATCAAAAGTCCAATGGCATTTTTCACAAAAATAGAACAATCCTAAAATTTGTACTGAAACACAAAAAACCCTCAATAACGAAAGCAATCTTGGGAAAGAACAAAGTTGGAGGCATCACTCTCCCTGATTTCAAACCATAGTAGAAAGCTACAGTCATCAAAAACAGTATGGTGTTGGCATAAAAACAGACACACAGATCAATGAAACACAGTAGCCCAGAAATAAACCCACTCATAGAAGGTCAATTAGTTATTACAAAAGAGCCAAGAATATACAATCAGGAAAGGGCAGTCACTTCAATAAACGGTGTTGGGAAAACTGGACCATTACCTTACACCATACACAAAAATTAACCCCAAAATTGATTAAAGACCTGACTCTAAGGCCTGAAATAGCATAAAAACAATCCAATTTAAAAATAAACAGAGGATCTAAATAGATATTCAAAAAATAAGACATACAGCTGGCCAACAGGTAAATGAAAAGGTGCTCAACATCACTATCTGTCAGGGAAAATGACAATCAAAACCACAATGAGATACCACCTCACACCTCTTAGAATGGCTGGTACCAAAAAGACAAGAAACAAGTGTTGGAGAGGATGTGGAGAACGGAAACCCTTGTGCACTGCTGATGGGAGTGTAAATTGGTGCAGCCACTATAGAACAGGATGGAGGTTCCTCAAAAAATTTAAAACTGGAATTACCATATGATCCAGCAATCCCACTTCCGGGTATTTATTCAAAGAAAATGAAAACACTAATTCAAAAAGATATATATGCACCCTTATATGAAGCATTATCTACACAGCCAAGATACGAAAACAACCCAAGTGTCCATCAACTGATGGAATGGATAAAGAAAGAGAGAGAGAGAGAGAGAGAGAGAGAGAGAGAGAGAGAGAGAGAGAGAGAGAGTGTGTGTGTGTGTGTGTGTGTGTGTGTGTGTGTGTGTGTGTCTGTGTGTCTGTGTGTGTGTGTGTGTCTGTGTGTGTGTCTAACAGCACAGTGTTCGGCCATAAAAAAATGAAATCATGCTATTTGTGAAACATGGATAGACCTTGAGGGCATTATGCTAAGTGAAATAAATCAGACAGAGAAAGACAAATACCATATGATCTTACTCATACATGGAATCTTTAAAAAACAAAAACCTCAGAAGCAAGCTCATAAGATACAGGGAACAGACTGGTGATTGCCAGAGGCTGAGGGTAGGAAATCAGTGAAATGGGTGAAGGGCGACAAAAGGTACAAACTTCCAGTTATGAAATAAGTTAAGTCCTGGGGATATAATGTACAACACGGCAACTATAGCTGGTAACACTATGTGGCATATTTGAAAGTTGCTATAAAAGTAGATCTTCAAAGTTCTCATCAAAAGAAAAAAAACTGTTAACTACATATGGGGATGATATTAGCTAGACACTGTGGTGATTATTTTGCAATTTTTTAAAAAGTTATATAACAATGGTTTATTATCAGTCTTTGGGGGCGTGGTTAAATCAATATTAAATGCCTTAAAATAAGTTATATAACCTTCAAAAAGTAAGCAATGCAACAATATAAAATTTGGGGGGGAAGGGAAATGCTTTTAGCTAGTGAGCTAATTAAGATCAAAACAAAAATACAAAAATGTCAGAATTTCCACAAGGAAATATATTTATTTTTTCTTTAGAATTTGACTCAGAACAGTAACATAAAAATATTTACATTAAAATAAATTAAGATGTGATCATTTAACTACATGTAATAATTATGTTGGAATATATTATTTTAGCCTTTCCATTAATTTAATAAAAACTAAGATTTGGTTGTAGATTCAATACCATCCTTCCAAATGTTTGGTATGAAACTTGGTAGCAATGCAACTGTCTGGTGTATCGAATGGCTACAGATTTCACCAAGGAACACCTGATGCCCCTTCCAAGTACCCCAGCTCACCCCAGACAGATGGCCAAGCCACCTAGCTTCCTTTCCAGGAATCAATGAGGAACATTTCAAAAATAACCAGGACCTGGAGATTATTTCAGAGCTGATAAAGTTCTAGGAATCAGCGAGCCTATCTTTTAACATTAATCCACTAGGAAGGAAGTAGTTCACATGAGATACTGATTCCTCTATTTTGTAGAAACCTTCAGGTTTCCCTAAAATAATCTAAAAAGCATCTGCTTTTTTAGATCATCTGAAAGTACCCATAAAAACCTGCCACTAGACCAAATACTGTACTGGCAACATTTCCACAGCATACAGGAATATTTTATTAAACACCTCTGAGAAGACAATGTCACAGATAAATCGAGTCATTTACTAAGCAGGCATTCTCGTGAAAGCTTTTGGTAGCCTGTAGTAAATTAGAATATATTTTGCCCTTTGAAAGTTTTTAATGCGAACAGAGGTTGTGTGGCTTAGCAGAAGAGCACAGAGGGACCCAGGATCAGATCCCGTCTCTAAGACTCACTAGCCACATGGCTTTCGGCACGCCACTTAAGACTTAGTTCTATAAAATGGTAATTAAAACACCTACCTTACTGGTTGTGAGAACTTACAATAATGTGTATGAAGCACCAAGTTCAGAGCCTGGCACACAATAGGCACTTAAAAAATGGTGGCTGTTAGTGTTTCTTTCAGGTTGAAACTGATAGCAAGAACCCTGGCCTTTGTATCTTGACACCAGTGCAAGCATGGAATCTTACTTAGCAAGAATGCAGATTCACAGATGTGGGCCTGAGGTATGACACACAGCAAACACTGCCGTATGTACAGGCACTCCAGGATCACAGTCAGCATAGTCTGAAAAGCTCTTGAAGGGAGAGGTGCCTGCCAGTCAGTAGCAAAGATCCTTTTGGGATGGTTAATCTCCTTTCAGAGGCTGTAAGTCCTAGTGGCTTCTCAGCTGTCCTTAAGAAGATAAGGACAAGATCACTAAGGCCACTGTAATTCAGATTCCTGGTCTAAAGTTGCTCACGATTCTGCAAGAGTAATAACAAATGGCATCTTTCAACAAGTAACGCTTGGGAGTGAGACACGTCTAATGTCTTGATTACGGTCATGGTTTCACAGGTATATACATACATCAAAACTTATCAAATTGTGCACTTTAAAAAATACCTCAATAAAACTTTTTAAAATGTTCACTTAAGCCTTTCATGGTGAGATTTCCTTCTGTTCCCTGACTGGACCCCTTTCTGTGTTCTAAATTTTGGGTCAGAGGAGGAAGGATTAATAATCCAAACTCCAGTATCAAAGTCATACCCCAAGCAAGGCCCGCAGGTCTGAGTGGTACATGCAGTAAGCAGAGTCCGAAGGCTTCCTCATCTACTACTGTAGTTCCTTTTGGCACAGAAGACCGTGACTGGTACCTACAATACAGGTTTGAGCTGAAGTGACCCCAGAAAGAGCAGCATCTATAAAAGTGAGGGCTGGGAAAATGACTTTGGAAGAGGAGACTAAAAGCAAAACTTCCCTGCCAAAGTCGCCTGCCAAAGAACAAATTTAAATACCAAATTTGCTTTCTAAGAAATGCTCGTCTAGAAGACAACCTGGTTCCACCAAGGAGCTCACGAGGCTTGGCCCACCTCCACGCCTGGGAGGCCTAGTAGATTCTGCGAGTCGTGTAGTCCAGAACCATGCTGGCCGCACCCAGCAGGGCAGGTTCCACCAAATCTGACACCACCACGTCCACGTCCTGAACCGAGGACAAGGCTTGCTGGCGGATGACGTCTTTGACGGTGTGGATATAGTGACTGGCTAGCACTCCAGAGAGGATCACAAGGGAAGGATTCATGGTGTGGAGGATGTTTACAACCCCAAGACCCAGAGCCGTTCCAGCTACAGGAAAACAGAAATTAAAATAAGTTTCAGGGAGACAAAAGTCAAAGGTGGAAAAGAGCACCGGCCAGAACAGTTATTCGCACCACCTCGTGGGAAGCAGTGCTTTTAAAGATGTTCATGATTTATCCTTAATATGAAAAGATGATCATGTGATACTTGGAAATGAAAAAAGCTGGGTTTAAACTGTATGTATACTATACTGTATGATCTCAATTATGTGAGAAAAAAAAAGACTGGAAGGAAATGTTAATACTTGATCTCTCTGAATGGTAAAACTAAAAGATACTTTTTCTTACTCTCCTGTATTTCTCTAAATTTCTAGAAAATGAACAAGTAGATTTTTCATAGTTGTAAAACAAAATAAAATCCTGTTTTAAAAGGCAATGCTGCCAAGTACCCTGAACGCAATTCACCCTTTGTCTCAGTGAGCAGGAAAGACACCTCTGGACAGACAGTGCAGAGCGTGGGCCCTGAGGGAGGCCGGGCACCTGCGGGAGCCCCGGGCTGGCTGAGGGCTCCCCCTACAGCAGAGCTGTTCGCAGCCGTAGGCTCACCTGTTCTCAAGATGCTCTGGGCCTTCGCGTTGCCAAGTTTCGCAGCTTGGATGAGATGGAGTGCGCCTACGGCTTCGTCTTTTGGCACTGACATCCCTTCCACCAAGAGCTGGTCTTCTGTTGGAGCAGAGGTGAGAAGCAGCAGTCATTCATGAGCTGTGATCATCTTTTTATCATTCAGAAACATCCATACACCCCTGCCAGAGGCCTCTGCTTGCTTACTGTACATCATCCTGAACTTCCCTAACCAGAAAATTCTCAACTCTGACCATAGCCTCCCTCACTTTCCCTTCCTTGAGGTGTTTTCCCCCAAATTATCAGAATTCCTCTGAGTTCATCTTCCTTTTCCATCCCAGATGCAGTGATGCATCACCTGTCAGTGCCCCACCTTGGCAGGAAGGCACAGCACCTAGGAAATGGTCAGACCTGGGTTCAGCTGCCACCACTAGCTGCCCTCCCCGACACTGTCGCATCCTCTCCACACGTTTCTCTTCACTGTAAGACTGCGGTATCGTACAGACGCTGTAGATACTTCTACTGTCATCTATAGTCGCTGTCTTTCTGCCCCTCACTCTGCCAGTCACCAACCCAGATCAATCTCCCTCCTCATCTGCTATTCTCGGGCTCTGATGGGAGGAAACCCCAAGCATGCAGACCTGGACACCAACCCGGGTCTCACTCTAGCCACGCTCCCCCTTTCTAAGCCTTCACCTCCTCAAATGGTCTGTCCTCGCCCCTGCCACCAAAACATTTCCTTGCTCTTCTGCCCCTGCCTCTACACACATCTGTTTCCTACCCTTGCTCCTTTCCCTTCCTGGGCCCTCCACCTGGGCTTTGTGGCTCATCTCCTCCCCCCTCCCCAGGGCCTCCTGGTGAGGACCCCACCACCCTTCCTCTGCTCTTCCTCTCCAGCCTTCTCAGCCTCACTTCAGCTCCCTTGTCTCCTGTCCATCGGCTCCCAGATTCCATGCCCTCCCAGCACTTCCTCCCTTGACTCAGGGCAGCTAGGCTTCTGTTCCCATGACTTGACTGAGCTTTTAAGACATGCATTTACCCCTGTGGGGGCAAAAACTGGTTCTTGGGGGCAAAAAAAAAAAATCTTTCTCTTTTAATACAGAGAGTACATAAACAGATAAACATATATGTGGTATCTGTTCCTTAGTAGGGGTGATGATAAAAACAAGGTTGAAAAAATAAGTTTTAGGGCTTCAAATTATGTCCTTCTTCATGGTCAAAGCCAATGAACTTTTCTGGTTTTCTCTTCCTCAGCACTTGACACTACCAACTACTCACCCTCCCTGAAACACTCCCTTTTTGGCTTCTGTGACCCTACCCTTTCCTGGCTTTCCTCTCTGCCTTCAAATGCTGATGTTTCACAGGATTCTACCCTCACTCCAAATCGCAGGCAGAGGTCTAATTCCCACCTGCAGCTCAATCCTCCCCTGAATCAGACCCCTGTAGCCAGCTGCCTCCTACACATTTCTACCTGGGTGTCCCACTGGCACCCAACCTTCATCTGCCAAAACCTGTTCCCCCTCTTACATTCCCAACCCCAAAGGTGTCCAACCAGGAAACTGGAAGTCACCCTAGAATTGTCCCTGTTGAAGTCATCCTCCATTCAACTACCATTTTCCCCCAGGAAACAAAAGTTACAGTTTGGTGAAGGATCTAAAATTCAGATCTGTGTCTCTTCCCTAAAACTTTTCAGTGGCTTCTCCATTAGCTGCTGGTCCTGGCTTACCTCTTGCTACACTGTAGCCTGCCTTGCCCTTCATGTACCAACACCACTGTTTCCTGTGCTTGGAAGTACTCCCCTGCACATCCAAACTTGCCTTGTTAATTTTATTTACTTTCTGACTAGACTTCCAGGACAGCAGCCTAAAGCTCCCTTCCCTGTGTACAGAGGGAACACTGGGGTCCTTCCCATACGCATCCACGTTCCTTGGCTGTCATTCTCATTGTGCTTACACGCCATGTGATGATAGTAAATGACTCCTTCTTGTATTAGACTAGAAGCCATCCTGACTTTTTAACATGTCCAGAAACAGCTGTAATTCAAGTAGACCCCTCAGAATTCAAAAACTGTACTATGTTCATCCATTTAGGTCTCCATTAAAATCTATATAAAGTACCCACCCGTTCTAGGGGCTGAGAAAACAATGAAAGAAATCTCCCCTGCTCTCCTGGAGCTCAACACCCGTCCACCTCTGCTGCTGGAGAGGAAGAGTGCAGGTCAAGGATGCTGAGCTGCTTCTCCTCTAGGGGGTGAGAAGGGGAAATGTTCTGGCTTCAGTGTTCAGCTTTCTTTGGAATATCTACTTTGAAGGACTTGTCTACCATTTGGCTATTTAATTGCACAGGTGAAAGAAACTGACCGTCATGGAGCTTTTTCGCTTCCCTCTGCAAGGCCATCCCAGAGGCATATGCTTCAATACACCCATGGCTTCCACAGGAACAGTCAGGTCCATCCAGGGACACCACGATGTGGCCAAGCTCCGCAGCGCAGAAGGAGCTGCCATGGATCAGTTCATGCTGATGGATGATCCCCCCGCCAATTCCTACAGTGAGAGATGACAGTCACTGATGTGGCCCCTCATCTGAAACAGAAACTGTGCTATGGCCATGCCTGGTCTGTGCAGCAAAGCTTTGGACTGTGAGCTCCTACGTAGTGCCTACTTTCCTAGGTAGCTGAAACCTACTAAGTATCAAAACTTTCTCTGGAATCATTTTGGATGGAAATATTTTTAGCAGGTACTTGGCTGGTTTCAGCCACAACTGTGGCAGGCAGTCCGTGCAACCTCAGAGTCACCTCGTGAAGACAGTGTACCACCTCCAGCACAAGCTGCCTGTGGTTCTCACCAAGGCCTTCTCCAACACTAAAGTAAGAGCCTAGCAGCCATGCAAGCACAGTGCCCAGAGGCAACCCTCAACCAAGGCGAGAGGGGAGCCAGCAGATTAAGTGGACAACTCCGGATGGTATTCTGCAGGCCTCCTGGGAGGTTCTGGTAGATTTCAACCCCCACTGCCCTCAAGGCAATTTTAACAACACACCCTCTAATGGCTCGCCTTCTTCCTACTCCCTCACTCCTGCTCCTCAGAATCACCTCCAAAATAAAATACCCACACACTGAAATCCTTCTCTCAGGCTCTGCTTTGGGGGGAACTCAAGATAAGACAATCTTTCTAAAAGTATCATATACCACCTGCTTTCTTAAACGGAATATAAAATATGACTTTGCCTCTTCTTAATGCCACCATGTCTATAAAAATCTATGGTTCAAATAATTATGAATATCAACCACTACCTTTTGTTATGGAGTTCAGGAGTAACTAGGGAGTAAAGGGCATTTCACTCTAACAGGCTCTGCGTTTAGAGTTGTCCTGCCATTTAATACTTCTTGTGGCACTGAGTCAAACCCCACCCCTCTAATTTACAGGTTATTACTGCTCTGAACCAGGAAATGATAGCCAAGCTTGCTAAAACTGTGTCTGAGACCAAGAGAAGGGCATGAGCTTAGTGCAGGGAGACAGCATAATGTGGAGTTTAAGAGCACACAAGTTTTGAAGTTGGGCATGTGTGGGACCAAATGCTGGCTCGACCACTTACTAGCTGAGTCTGTTTCCTCATTTAAAAGACAAATCGGGACATTAGCAGAAGTGGCAGAGTAGGGAACTCCAGAATTCCATCCCTCTGCTAAAGCAATGAGTAAACTGGCAAAAACGGTCAGAATCAACTTTTTTGGAACTCTGGAAACTAACCAAAAGTTTGCAACAACCAGGGGAATAATCAAGAAAAAAACAACTGAATCTAAATAAAGAGATATCTGGCATTTTCTGGTCCCATCAGCCCCACTCCTCACCCCTCAGCTTGGCGGTGGCCTTGAGTAACAGCCCACATTCCCAGCACAGACGGCAGCACCGGAGGGGGCAGATGAACCCTGTTCTCAAAGAACTGGTTTGTTTCAACCTGCCTGGTGGCTCCTAGAGGACCAGCTCAGTCCTGCCTTTATCTCACCCACCTCCCAACTCCTGAGGCTCAGGGGGCAACCCAGGGAGCATTTGTTAAAACATTTAAAGATAAGATATATGTATTAGGCTCTGCTGCCTAGGACAACGGACAACAGATGGGACAAACAATACACTAACTAAAGAGAGTGGGAGGAAAAGCTGGGGAATGAGAGATGAGATGCTCTGGGGAAGAAGGGCTTGAACAGCTCTGACCGGAGGCTGGGAATGCAGACAGCCACAAGCCTGCACAGGGCCATGCACATGCTCTGAGGAGACCTGGGCGGGCCCTGAGCGCTCGCTATCAGGCTCTGCTCAAGCAGGAAGTGAGGTGAAAGCGGAGCTCAGCACTGCCTGGCCGAGTAGTAAGGGCACGTGCCCTGACACACGCGCTGGCTCCTGCAAAGACCTTCTCCTTCTCTTACCTGTGCCTGTGATAAGCGTCACAAAGTTTTCCAGGCCCTTTCCTTGACCGAATTTCCTTTCTGCCAGGGCGGCACAGTTGCCATCGTTGTCCACCCACACAGGGAGATGCAGAGTGTCAGACAGGGGGGTCCTGAGATCCACGGAGTTCCATTCTTGAATCAGCTTGGTTGAACGCAGCACAATTCCTTCCCGAGGATTTACACGGCCACCTGTGGAAATGCCTGAGCTCCACCAAAAACACAAGGAGAGTAATTCTGATTAGCAATCTCAGAAAAGTGTGCTGACTTCCTAGGCTTGGAGCACAAATTAACCCACCCAAGATCTAAGACAAATAAGGACTACAAGGCAACAAGGCTGCTCTGAGCTAAATCTGTGGCTCCTCACAGACTGATCATTCCATCAAAGCTTCTCCCATAATGCTTGTTGGAGTCCCAGGGAGTCCCCATGCTTGGGCTCCACAGACAGAACCTGGAGCCACTACACACAGGGCAGACAGTGACTTGATGTTCCGTCATGCATCAGAACTCAGCAAACTCTGTACATGAAAATGAACACTGCTTGGACATGTAATTCACAATCTCACCTACTCCCAAGATTCTGCAGTTGAGTTTGACAGCTTCTGCTGCGGCTTCTACACACATCTGTAGGATTAAATTAATCCTCTCTTCATAGGTTTTAGGATTGAACTGAGTATACTTCTTAACTATTTCACCCTAAAAGAGAAAAAACAGGTCTGTCTCACTGCTTAGCTAAGGAGCATACGATGAATCTTTTGAGCTAAATCAGACATCGCTCTAGGACAGTACTGCAGATTTAGATGACTGCTGGGAAAGGGAGCCACTGCCTGGCTTGGGCCAGCCCTGGGATACACCCAAGTAGTTTCCTGGGAAGCCAACCTGCCATATGGCTGTTGAGGCAATGACAACTCCACAGCCAACCAGATGGGCCCTCTCTTAAGCATAAATTGAACGCTGGCTAATCCAAGTCTTCATTAAAAGGTCATATTTTACTCTTTCAGGATGACGGAATTTCCTTGTTTAAATACTAAAGCAACTAAGTAAATATCCTAAGTAGTTAAGCTTTAATTACCTCCTTTAACTAAAGCCAATAACGGCATGGCACCATGACGTTTAAATTACTGTGCTTGGTGAGATGTTTTAGTATCAGTCAAGGATAGTCCCTCCTAATCTTGTTTTTAAATTTTTTCCTTGCTCTTCTCACTTGTGCATTATTGTAAGTAAATTTCAGAATAATGTTGTTAAACTTTGAAAAAACTCTCACTGAAATGTTAACTAGAATTATATTAAACTTACAATTCAATTTGGAAAGTGCTGACATTTAAAAAATACTCAGCAATCCCATCCAGGACATTTTTCAAGCCTTTTTATTTTACAGTAGAGTTTTATATTTTCTTTATATACATCACATAATTTTCTAGTTTAGACTATTCTTAGAAGTTCTGTTGTTCTAAACAAGACCTCTTTTTCCATTCTTGTTATTAATGGATCTTTGTTCATATACAAGGGTTAGAGCTGTCACTAACGACTGTCATTAAAAATAAACCTAGTTGTGCTTCTCAGCCATCACTCTGCATCAGAATCACCTGGCAGCTTTGAACAAATCCTGATGCCTGGCCCCACCCCAGAGACTGGCATCTAGTTAAGTCTGGGTTGGGAGCCAGGCATCCATGTAATTTTTAAAGCTTCCAGGTAATGCTAATGTGCAATCAGGGTTGATAAATACTCACCTATGGAAAACTCAAATCTTTGCGGACAATTTCATATAAGTAGAAAGTTATTGATATTTATATAGTTATAATATCTAGCCATTTTACTTAATGGTCTTAATTCCATGAGCTTCTTGGTTTATTCATATTGTCTATAAACAATATTTTTTGTTTTATCCAGTCCATAATCGCCATTTTTGCTGTCTGTTCCTTGGTTTATTCCCTTCACAACTTTGAGAATTATGTTAAATAATGTTGCAGAATACATCCTTCTTTTCCTCTTCATTTTAACAGGAATGCCTCTAGAATTTCACCACTACAAAGGGTACTGGCCACTGATATGGAAAATTATCATCTTTATGTTAAGAAAATATTCTCCTATTAGTATTTTTTAAAGGGTTAAAGGAGACCTTTTGGCTTCACTAGATAAAATCATGTTTTATTTTGCTTTTCCTTACTTGATCTAAACAACTTTGTTTTTAAAATCCTCCAAACATCATACAGCTATACTGTTTCAAACAAAGATTTTTCTGGTAGGTTTATTCTTCCTTGTTAAGTTACAGAGATCATTTTAACATGGACAACATGGTGTTCTGTGAACGCTCTGTCAACACTGTGGTACTGGTTTGGTTACGTGACTGAAGGTACACTGTACTCAACTAAAATCATGTTCCAGAGGAGAAGCAGTTCCCCTCCCCATTTGCAGATACCCTCCTCTGGTCAGTGAGAGTCATCAGCATGCTCCATACTCCAAGTTGTCACTGAGTACAGAATTTCAGGTCTCTTGGGTGGCAGACGCCCTCTCTGGTACCTGATGGGTCTCCCATTGTCAACTCAAGTCCGCCAACTTGGATTCCGAGAATTTTACTTCTTTAAAATGTTGGTGATTAGTAAAATAGAGAGACAAACATTGTGAAGGATCCAGGAGTCAATACTGTGGGCAAACAATTATAAGCTCTTGTGTATGTTTCTTGTCCAACTTTCCAACCACATTTTTAAAAAATCAACTATTTTATATGGGATATAAAGTTAAGATCTTAGGAATTATTTTACCTTCATGCTGACTATTGCAACTCGGAGGTTCGTCCCACCAAGATCAACAGCCAAGGCACTGAGAGTTTCAAGAATATGGTCAATATCTTGGGAGATGTTATCCTTCACAGGAGGAAAGCAGAATTTCTTTTGTAGTGGTTCTTGAAGATCAATAGATTTGAGAAACTTCAAAATCCTTGGAACAGCATTTCCATCCCCATATATCTTTGAACTGCAATGTCCAAAAAGTCAATTAAATTAAATGTTTCTCTCATACATATTTAATTATATTAAGGACATGGTATTAATGGAATCTGAGACTTCAGGTAATAAATAGTGTGTGCTTCTTCCTTTTAAAATAACCACCTCTGGATCTCTTTAGCAACACTGTAACTAAACACCTTCACATTATCAATGGAATACCTAACACACTGCTGATTGACATACAACTGTTTCCAGCCTAAGATACCATTAACAAAATGCCTGAATCATCAAAGAAAAATTATCTTTGTTAAGCCAATTTCAGAATAAATCATAGTTTGGGACAGTACTTTTTTTTTTGCTTTTGTACTTTTTGTTTTTACTTTTGTGGAGGAAAAAGTTATTTTCAGAAAAAAAAGATTCAAATACAGGAAGACCTCATTAATTTGAAATAGAAAGGAGGACAGTCTAAATTAGAAAGCTGAACTAGACTATTTTTAAAGAAAATCAGTTATATTCTCTAATACTTATAGAAAGTCACAGTAGGCTAAAGCAGTATTTCCTAACAGAAATGCTATATTAATTGAGACAAATAAATCATTCTCCATTGGAACCCTTCCCTGGTAGAGTAACAGGAGGTGTATTAGCAAGCCCTGTCTCACCAGCAGCTGGGGACTCTAGGGTTGTAGAATGAGAGCTGTTAGGATGACTAAACAGTGATCACAGCTTGAAAATGGTGCCCAAGGCAGCTCCTCCTTTTAAATCACTTTTAAAAATATATATATACACTCACCAAGGGTACTGTTTACCAAACTGAAGGTGCAGTGCTTGCAATATTTTGTCTTGGGTATCGGCATCCCGGACGTGAAGAACATTCTCCCCTAGGTAAATCCAGTGATGTTACAATGATTCAGAAGTGGGAAAAACCATAGAATATAGAATCAGCAGTGTGTTGTGTTCACAATTAGCCTTGAAACCCAGAAGACTTCAAACAAGTTTTCTATCAGAGAGAACTTTCTACTTCCTATCTTTTAAAGCACTCCCTGCAGTATTTCCATAGATCAAATACTTAAGGGCTCTAGGTTTCTTTATTTCCAAAGAGCAGAAATCATGCTTTTCTTTACTGAAGTAAATAAGGTAATGAATCCAGTAGCCACCTACCACTCATCTACTTATCCAGCATGTCCACTCTTTCCATCTGCCCTGCCTTCCATCTACTCAGTTCAATCAGCTGGTCAGTCAGTTTGTCAGTTAGCCAGTCAGCTGTTGAGGTAGTCACTTTCTCCCCATACATTTTCTGACCAATTTGAGGGAGTAAATACAGTGACAATGACATGTTTTTCAATAGGCCTGGCTAAGAAGAGATGAGCAGAAGGGTGGTGGCTGGAGAGAGGTGTGGGGTCAGGGAAGGGGTTGTTTTGTATTGTTTTGTTTCTAAAGTAAAAGAGGCCTAGGCATGTTAAAATGAAGAGGCTAAGCATACATGTAAGAGAAAGGAGGACTGACAGTCCTTGGGAAGGCAGGGGATTCAGAACACAGGTAGGGAGCTGAGCAGCAGACCAGCAGGAGTGATCCCACCCCAGCCCCTCCAATGTAAAGGTAGGTGTAGAGGATGGAGGGCATGTGTTTATGGAAGTGTGGTGGCAGAAAGTACACACTGCCTTTGAAAGGAGACCTCGGTGCCAAATTCAGCGTTATTCTCTGTTCACTTCTTATCTGAACTCTCAGCAGCATTCAGCATCATCTCCTTGAAACGCTTTCTTTTCTGGGCTTTAATGACACCACACTCCTGGTTTGCTGCAGTTCCTTTTCAGTCTTCCCTCCTGGCCTCTCCTTCCTCATCAGAAGGGCTCCAGAGGTTGGTCCTGGGCTCCATTTCTGGCAGAATGCACCATTATCCTCAATATCTTTTGTACTAGTAACAGAATTCTTAGCTGGCACTGATCACCCAGCTAAAGACTGTATGTATTCTCCTGCTTCCCTTGCAGCTAGACGTGGCCATGTGACATTCTGAAGACGTGTGAAGAAGTGCCTGCAATCTCCAGGTTGTGCTTTTAAAGGGAAGGACATCTTCCCCTCTCCTCCTTCCCCAATGGTTAAAATGTGGACTTGACAGCAAGAGCTGGAGCGATCATAAAGCAGCACAGGGAGACTGTCTCTGATGACTGCAGAGCTGCCACACCAGTGACAAACAAAGAAAATCTAACTTATTTGAGGCACTATTATTCTGGGTCTCTCTGTTACAGCAGCTGAACTGATATCCTAACTAAACACCATCTATATGCCAATCATTTCAAATTTGGATCTTAGCTGCTTATCTGCCATAATCTCAAACTTAACATGGCCATGACAGGACTCTTAATTCTGCCCCCTCCTAAACTGTTCCTTCCTCAGAAGCCAATGTACCAGGAAAGCAAATCCCTGCTGCTCAACCCCAAAATCTAAGAGTTATTGCTGATTCCCTTCTTCCCCGCACCACTCACATCTAAGCACAGCAAGTGCTGTAACAAACCCCAAATCTAACTTTCCTCCATCTCTAACACTACAGTGTAGTCTCAGCCACTGTCATCCCTCACATGAACTGAAAGAACGCCTCCTAACTGGTCTCCCTGCTTTCACTCCTGCCCCACCACACTCCTCTCTCCATGGGGCGGCCAGAGTGATCTTTCTAAATTCAAGTCATACTGTGCTATCCTCTCTTAAAATGGCTTCCCATCATACTTAGAAAAAATCCCAGATTGTTCACCCTGGCTTACAAAGGTCCTCCTCCTCCTCTCTCATCATCCTGTACCACTCTTCCTCTCCAGCTACACGGGCCCTTCTGTTTCTCAGACACATCAGGCTTGTTCCTGTCTCAGGGTTTTCACACTGGCTTTTCCCTCTGCTTCTCCCTGACCCTCACATAGCCGACTCCCCGTTGTACAGATCTGAGCTTACGCGTCATCTCCTACCTGAGGGCTTCCCTCATCCAGTCCAGCATTACCCTACCTTGTGTTGTAACCCGCACAGCACACAGAAATCACAGACTCTTCTTTTCTTTGTGTGTGTGTGTGTGTCTACCATCTCTTCCCAGACACTAGAATGGAAGTTACATGAGAGCTCAGCCCTTTTCAGTCTAGTTTAGTTTAGTCTGAATCCCAGTGCCCAGCACCTCGCAGGTACTTATTAAATATTTTCTTAATGAATGCATTAATGAAACCGAAAGAATTTTCATCTAATGGCTTCTATTTTCTGTGAAGTAGGGAGCAAAATAATATGTTGGGAAAGAAGGTTGAAAGATAATAGAAAGCTAGGGTGGCAATTGTGCGAATCGGGAGAAAGAGCAGAGCTGGAACTAATCTCCTGGATGCCAGTCCAGTTCTTTTTCCAGTAACTACATTTTCCCAGTAGCTACAGAAATATATTTGCATGTAGACAGCATAAGAACTTGAACTAATGTTAATAATGAGATCTCTCTCAGTTCAGCAAACTCATTAATGACATCCTACTTACACTTTAGTTATTTAGGGGCCTCTTATTCGGATTTGTCATGCTCCGAAGTACTGACTACAGGGTCTCTACTGGGCCCAGAAAAATGAACACTAGCATTTACACAGTTGTAACACACACAACCACATTCTCTCTTAAACACAGCGATCAAAGGCCATAATTAACTAAGGAACTTTTAGCTCTGGTAAAACAAAGACAAAAATGTAAGAGCCCTAAAAAAAGTTGGTAATCACTGTGTGCTATTTATAGACTTCAGGCTACAACTGATCATTAACCTCACTCACTCACTGATTAAATCGTATGCCGGCACTGATCATGCATACCTGATAATAGCTCATACACAGGTTTTAAGCCTAGTCAGTTGAAACATAAGCAAAGGTAAATACCTGTTTCTCTTCCAATCTGACGTGTCCCTAGGTTGATCACAGGTGTTCCAAAAGCACCAACCTCTCGTACCCCACAGCTGCTGTTCCCAATCATACAACCAGCGTGGGCGACCAGCTGTATAAACTGGTCAAACGGAACATGTTTAACTGCACGAAAATTGGGATGATGCTCGATGCCCTTCTTCCGCATCACTCGAACCATCTCTTTGCTCCCTGTGAAAATGACAAGCAACAACTGTTAAATGGTTTCTGAGCTGACAATTTTCATTGGCGAGTATAGGCCCCACTTAGAGAAATCTCCTCTATAAAACTCATAACAGTTATTAGGGAAATAATAATTTTAATTACTAGTCTTTTCATGAATGATGAATATCTAAAATGACTGGTCAGCCCTCTGCTTGAACTTGAAACAGCAGCAGTGAGGTCTCTTCAAACAGCATCCACAAAGCAAATACTAATGCCCTAGGCAAAGCCTTTACTTTAAAGAACAATTAAGAGGCTCAAAACAGGCCAAAAGTCTCCATCCCTTAAGCCAAGAGCTCCTCAATGGAAAGGCCTCAGGGCTCCACACACCAAGCTGATCAGGGGACCTCACACGCACATTTACATGAACAATGGGACAGCAAGCAGGCCCACATAAGTGGATTAAGCTCCAAGGAAATACAGATAGGTTCTGATACTGTGGCTGATATTTTATTTTAAATGCATGATTTTTTAAAAAGTTACAGATGTATGAGGGGGAGCAATATTTATTAATGCCTCTCTACTCACCCCTTCCTGGCTGCTGCCTCCCAAGGGAGGGAACACGGCTAATCTGATTGGTTAGAAGGCAGGACAGCAGCCACACCATGTTCACCAGTGGGCAAGAGCCATGGATTTAACAGAGGCTGTGCGTGTAGGTGTTCTCTGTCTTTTTAACTTTCTTTCTGTGGCCAGGTAGGTAACAGACTGAGGGTCCAACTCCTTAGAGCAGGTCTGGCCACTTCTCTCCTGCCAGAACGTACCAGTCATCACCTGTGATCACTGCAGTGCATGGCACACCAGAAGGTGCTACTATTCCAAGATTCAGATTTGAGCTCAGCTGAAGGCTTCTCTTTGGCCTTATGTCTAAATCACAGGCACTAAACCTACTTTCCAGGGAATCCTACATTAGGGAACTGAGTACTAAGTCAGATACTGAGAAAGTGATGCCTTGACTCCTATTTCCCTATTGTTCCTTGTATATATTTTAATGAAAGCCCTTTGAAAGGGAGAGGTGAGTGACAGATATGATTTAGGCACTCCTGGGACCCTTTACTTCCACAGGGGCAAAATATCTCTAATTATAACTTATATACAATAAGGAAAGTAAAACACAAACAGAATGACACTGACAGTGAATAATGAACAAGAGATATACTTACATTATAAATATTTATACAGTTTAAAGGATTAGAAAAGAATATTAAGGTTTCTGAAATACTGATACATTAGCTGGATGAAATCTGGGTTGAGCGGTTCTTAAATTTTTTTCCACTAACATCCTACTTTGTTTCCCATAACAGAAAATATGATTCAAGACACACCAAGAGAAGGATTCTTTCAGAGTAAGATGGAGACATCTTGGCATTGCAGAGAAGGGGTCCTGCCTCCTTTACCAAAAAACACCTCAGAGCTCAGCAATGAGTGGAGTCAGCTAATAATAACAAGTATTTGAAAACCCCTCAGTGGCAGGCCCTGCTCCAGCATCTCTTATTTGTATCTCATATCCCCCCCATTAACCTGCCTAAGGTCTCACCAGCCCCAAAGACTACAGCTCCACCTACTAGTAAGGTGATCAGTCAGGTTACGGTTAAGGATCAACTGGTTGGGAACCAGACCTAAACTGCTGAAGCTCAAGATTAAGTTAAGGCATAGCTAACATATATAAGACAACAAGAAATAACAATGGCTATTTTACTGTGGTCAGTGGGATCATTACTTTCCTAGAGACACTCTTTCAACTTCTATGGTTTGTATCTCTTGGCCACTGCATTTTCTCGTGGATGGAAATTGGGAGGGAGGAGACTAAACATGAAACTACCATGGAGATAAGAGATTTTTAAAAATACTTCTTTCTTTCCTACTAGGTTTCTACTAGACTTGACAATAATATCATGAACTCTTCAATCTACTGCAAAACTGGTGATCCTTTGAAAACTGAACTTCACTGTATTTTGGAATAGAATGGCCTTCAATGATAAGACGAGCAAGAAAGGAAGGGCAGTCAAAAGAAGACAAAATAGGAACATGAAAACTGGGAAGGCAGGTGGTATACTTTCCTTTCCAAGTTCAATTACCTGCATCAATATTTGGAAACAGAACTAGGGTCCGCTTGTTAAATGAGATAAGTGCATCCAATGTTAATTCAAACATTTTAATGGAATGCTTAATGTCAGTGGTCACAGGGTGCTGTAGTGCAACAATGTAATCTTTAGATTTTACATCATCACCTGTGAAAAGAAAATCAAACCATAGTGCTTCGTTAGTTAAGAATCTTAAAAGAGGAAGATGCAAATTCTAAAAAGCAAGACCCCAAAATCTCTGCTTTTAAAAATTCTAAGGAAAAAAAATTTTGTCACATTCTAAGCAGGGCATCCAAATTAGGATCAAATGATAAGAACTCATAGCAACAAATCCAAGGATTCTTCAGCAAACTTAATACTTTACAAAGGTTTTTGCTATCACAGACAAAATATGTAACTTTAAATAGCAGGCACTAGACTTCATTGTTTTAAAATCCAAAATATTTCAAAGCATTAGAAAAATGTGAATCTTCCCAATTTTCAACTAGTGTTTCTAATGAATTATCAGAAATGTTAATGAGTAATAATATGTTGCAAATCAGGGCATTTAGAGATTGAATGAGCATTAAATACATTTCATATAATGCACAGAAGCTTCCCCATACCATTACCCACAAGATTCAACAAACGGCCAGTGTTTCTTACTCTGTTCACAGGACTAGAAAGGCTTCACTCATCCCCAGGCTGGGGATCCAAAGGACAGTTCCACAGCAAAAATGTAAAAGTGTAAAAGATTTGGATGGATACTGCTATGCCAAATAACACAAAAACACTTTGAAACAGGGCCTAGATTATCCCATAAAACTGAAATCGCTTATTTTTAATGAAAGAATACATTTTTTGTGGTATTAATATTAATGATCAACTTTATCATAAACAGTAAGTTTATCATTGATCCAAATTCAACTAGCAGCAGTTATCTTTTATGATTTAATGGTAAGTTTTTACTAAGAATCTTCAGAAGTATTAAATATAAAAGACTACAGCCTCCAAATTTTTATTTTAAAAAATTATTGGTTCCATATCATGTTCTAAATGGGGGTGGGGTGGGCATATAATTATTAAATTTTTGTACAAAGTAGGAAAAAAAAGACTCAAAAGCTTAAAAGAATCTATCAGAAACAGAAGTCTAGAAAGATGTGATCATCACAAACTCAGGTAATCTACTAGATACAGATTGGGGCCATTAGAAAGAAACTATCTCAGAGAGAATTAAAAACTTGGGGAAAACATAGGCAAAACATTATCTGACATACATTTCAAAAATTTTCTCCTAGAAGAAATAAAAGCAAGAATAAACAAATGGGACCTAATGAAACTTACAAGCTTCTGCAGAGCAAAGGAAACCAGAAATAAAACAAGAAGAAAACCTACGGAATGGGAGAAAATTTTTGCAAATG